GCGAAGAGGAGGATGAGAAAACACCGCTTTTAAAAGGGCACAAAACTAGCGATAGATATCTACATGTTTTATATTATTCACACCGCAATACATTGTATCTACAAAATATTTATATTTAGAAGTTTTGATAGATTACACGTGTCTGGCCCATATGCGCGGAGAGCAAGCAATTTCTCTCAGCTGACATTTACATCAGCTGTGGGCAGATAGATACAATCGACGCTCTCAGCTCCCATTCAGTTTTAGCTCGGCAGTGGCATAAACAATGCACTATTTATAGATACGGGAGTATCTCTAGCCTATACGTAGGTACCTATGTCATTCAAGGTAAGACCTTAATATTTTAAATGATAGTTTTCTAACACCTCGAATTATATGTCAAGTGATAAACAGAAAGACAACTCTCCTTCACTAAAGAAGAGTGCAAGAAGAGCATTTACCATTTAAAAAGCGAAACTGCAACGGAGAGGAAAACATCTTAGTGTGGACAACATAGCAAGAAGCTAGGGTTGATTTTCAGTCACCCATAACAGATTAAAATAAACATCACTAATCACCATTTCTAATGGCAATTAACCTTCTACCGCCAATATCATAGAAGGGCACATAATATTATATATTGCCCCATCAGGGTCTACATTTCCTCGAGGGGGAAACGATGGCCATGAGAAAGCTAAAACTACCTACGTCCGTAGGTACCCATACATAATACCTAAACAAAAACATTTTCATTTCTGAATTTCGTACAAAGGTTGTATAGGCGTTATATTTCAAAGCTAAACGTTTACAAAGAGGTTTTGCATGTCACACGTACCATAGAGAAGATAAGAGTTTTCAACAAAGGTGAGCTCTTGAACACTTGTTGAATAACTACGTTTCTTGTACGACTTCTATATGACCTAATGGTCTCTTGATAAGCTCTAGCCATGATCTTTGTACAATAAACCTTATAATAGGGAGTGATTATGTGAAACCATTATATGTATTGCAAAGTAGGTAACTACGTAGGTATACAAACTTCTTTATCTTTTATCGCGTAATGGAATTTCTTTATTAAACGGGTAATATGTATAATACGATCTATTACCGATTCATCCGCAAAACTCATCCGAATTATTTTAGTTCCCGATTCATCCGAAAAAATATTCCCGATTCATCCGAAATCCAAATTATAATTATATAATTACCAATTCATCCGAAAAAATATTCCCTTTTCATCCGGCATGAAAATATCCTTAAATAAGACAAGAAAAAGTATAGATAGCAGAAAAAATATTTTAAAATATATTAACTCATATTTTTAATATACTGTATTAGGTATTACAAATTATATGTATGTATAAATACAAGTACTCACTTTTTTACAATATTTTTTCACTTTTTAACTGACTTCCCAAAAAGGAGGAGGGTCTCAACTGCCGAGTTGTGTTTTTTTGTGTGTTTGTACATCGATAGCGCCCAAACGCGTTGACCGATTGATGTGATTCTTTTTACATTCGACCCGAAATATATTCCGAGTGGGCCCATTTCAAGAATATTTGAAATCGATCCAGTAGTTTCCAGGCGGAGACAATCGGTCGATTTCTCGAACTTGCGAGACGATGTACACTTACTTCTACTGCACGTATCGTGTTGTAACTTTGCATACGAATGTAGATAGAGACTAACCGACTTTTAAAAGAAGAAGAAGTACCTACATACGTAACGAATTCTCGCTTGAAATTTCGTGTTGTACCCTTCTTACAACACTAAAAAGTGAATTGAATATACCTGTCCGACTTCTAAGTACGTGTTAGAAGTCGGGAAGGTTTATTATTTTTACCTTTTGGAAGTCGGTTTTTTTTAAATTTATTTTTATAAGATAAACTGTACGAATCTATTCCTACATTATCTAAAATGCCCAAAAAAAACTAAAAGAAAAACATTACCTACTTACTACAAAAATAATATCTTCTAATATTCAAAATCTTTTATTTGTCGTCGGTCAGGTGACACGACCAACCTGTAAAAAATATATATATATATATATATATATATATATATATAGGTAGATACCATATTTTTATAATACCTTTTCCCTTCTTCCATTATATATTAACAAAAAAATGTTAATAAGTGTGCCTAACCAATTGTTCTTATTACGAGAATTTTGCAGTCGGCAACCGAACAAAAGGGCTACAGAGCGTCAGGTAGGTATTTAAAAATACGAGCTCTATATTGCATAAAAGGGGTTTTATGATGGGATAGATAACACTGGTGAGAGTTTTCGGAATGGATTAGTATTTGTTAAAATATTGTTATTTAAATGTAATTGTTAATTTTAAAAAGACAATGTAAAAAGTTTTTAACTTTGCGTTTGTCGGCATCATAACGCAAAACCACCCTTCTTTTTAAAAATTATGTCACATATTTTGCATAAATGAAAATTTAGTTGACTTTTCGCTCGCGATCAGGAAACATCTCTACTATCACTTACTGTAATCACTTTCTGAACATTTGACCCTTGCTCGTGATCGGATTTGTTGTTTTGCCTACGATTTGGATTAGTTTATCATGGATTCTACTTGTGAACCTAGTAGTTCCAGTCAGACTCAATTAGTTTTTGAGCAATCAGAACGAGGAGGACTTCTTTTATTGCGTGGTGGCTATCAGCATAACAAAAAACGCGAAAACAAAACGGTACAACTGTTTGGTGTTGTGTGAAGTGGCAAACTCGGAAATGTCGTGGACGTGTAGTCACAAAAAACAATCTAGTTGTGAGTGATGATCCTCATACATGCCAACCAAATTTTGCTGCCAACATAATAAAGAAACAACTGAACCAATGCCGAAAATTAGCTGCAACGAAATCAGACCCAATACCAACGTTATTCAACAATGAGATGTCTTCGCTCGCTGATTTTGGCCTCGACCTAGTAGCAACAATACCGAAGTTTACATCAATAAAGAACAGTTTATACCATTCCAGAAATAAAGCACTGGGAGTGAAAAGAACCACATTTCAAACTGCTTCTGCCGTTGAAATCCCAGATGCATATAAAGACAAAATATTGCTGGCTGACTATACAGACCAAAGGAACAGAATCATAGTATTTGGAACACATAATGCGAAGCACTTACTAGCAACAGTTGAACATATTTTTGCAGATGGTACGTTTAAAATATGTCCTAAGCCCTTCTACCAACTTTACACAATCCATGGAGATTTGGGTAGTTCCGAAGAAACATCTAACGTTGTCCCGCTGGTATACGCGTTATTATTAAATAAGAAACAGGCTACTTATGAAATCCTTTTTCAAATAATAAAGTCGCAAGTGCCGGATTGGAATCCAAAAAAATTTCAATCTGATTACGAGGCAGCAGCTATGAACGCAATGCAAAAAATAATGCCTAATTGTAAAATTGTAGGTTGTTATTTTCATTTTAAAAGTGCTCTAAGAAAAAAAGCAAAAGAATTAAAATTAAATAAAAATCCCGTACATAAAGCTCACGTTGCAATCTGTGGCGCTTTATCACTTCTGCCACAACACTTAATCAGTGATGGTTATTTATATATAATGGAAGATTGTTCCAATAACGGGCAATAGGCATTAAAGTTGATTTTGTAACACTTTATTACTAATGTAGTAATTTAAATATTGTATTTGTTACTGTTTACAGCTTAAAAAAGAATTAACAAATAGTTGTATATCCAGATTTATATGTATCAAACCTATACAGGAAGAATAATAGATAAGTCCTAAAGTTGATTTTTATGGTACTGTATTACTGGTGTTATATTATATGTTACATCTTACTATTTAAAGTTTTACAAAGAAATAATATATATTTACATAATTAAAATATTTGTTTTATTTGTCAACCCTCCATCACTTTTTTTATTAATAACTATCTTTAAAACTCTCGGATGAATCGGACATACCATTTACTCTTCGGATGAATGGGGAAAATATCATAGGTATTTCAATATTTAATCAAATTTATCCGGATGAATCGGGAATAGATCTATAATACGATCCGGCTTATAGTTCAACAATGTGTGATGGGAATTTGGGAAAACCAAATATGTTTCGTCCATGAAGTTTGTATTACAAGTTTCGAGTGAGTGTAATTAAATATAATAAGTACATATAATATGTTAAAACTAAATCAGTTTGTGATTTTAAAATTATTCTCTAACTCAAAATCAGTAAAAGTTTTTTTCTAAATTTGCTACTAAACAAACTCACCTTGAATTTAAATTATCGCTCCTGCATAAATTAAGAGACAAAATAGCTTACAAGAACACAAAAATACTACTCATCTAAAGCCGTACTTAGTCTAAAGACCATTACCAAATACTGCGTTATCAAACAATTAAGAAAAATGCGAACTTAATGAAAGCATAAGAATCCAAAACATATCCGCTAACATTACTCATGTCGATACGACAATAACCTTTAGTACTTACCATAATAAACAAACAATTACATAATAGAAGTTACACCAATTCATATACATGAATAATAAACTACGTCACCGCAAACAAGCACACATGCACGTGCCAATAGCATTAAGCGACCATAGATAGAATGCGCGTCGATACTCTAAACTTTTTAAAGAGAGAAAATAACGATATTATAAAACCTTTGTTAAATAAAAACAACGTGGACGCATCCTCTCTATGCAATCTCTTAGTCATAGTAGGTAATAAGCGTGCAGACACTCGCACGTGATATTTTCAGCGCAGTAACTGCACTCGATAGTGACGGGTCACGTTTATTTACACAGCGCCACGGAATTAAGTCAACATAAACTATTATCGAAGACTTTCCACAGATAATTAATACTAAATTACTCGAACCGATTTGCATGCACGGAAACTAAGTAAGTAGATTGTACGTTCGATCAAGTCTATAATTGGATTTTGGCATTAATCTCATTACTATATGATTAGGCAATTTCGAGTGTAGTCACCGTGCCGAAAATAGCAAGTTACAAAGCCATGGACGTAGACGTACATTGGACGTGACAATGATGGCCGCCGGACCTAGCCCCATGACCAGATAAAGGAGCAGCTCCAACATCTTGTATCGCTCGTGGAAGATCTGTTGGTACGTGATGCCGAGCACTGCCAGCAGCCAGATCACCCACCGCAATTCTCTGAGCATCCAGCAGGAGAGCGTGCCGACCGTCAGCCACGGGAAGTAGGAACTCGCGATGAATATGTAAATCATTGCCCGGTCGCAACGGTGCAGGAAGTGTTTCATTTTACTGTGAAATTTAGTTTGCATTTAGCACATTCATTTTAGTATACGTTATATTAGAATACGCAAGCTATATCTGATGGTGCGATAAGCTAATTAATTAATTACTTGGTAAGTGGATTAGCTGTATGAGGATATTGGATTTCGATATTAAGACTAAAGTTGCAAATGGACGCCTGTGTCAATAGATTAAGTTTTTCGCTGCCTTTTGCATAAAATGCACATGAATCACTTGTTCAATTTCATATGTTGAGTCATACAAATTTACAGATACAGCTATTTATTTTTTCAATGGATCACGAGTATTTACGTAATTTGTTGGAGTACCACGAAGGCCACTAGGTAAGTAAACTACAAGGAATCTAACTTTTAGGTTGTAAAAGCTACTAGGATAAAGCACTGTAATATTTTTATGAATTTTCCAGTTTTGCCTCAATACAGATATCATCCAAGTTAGATATAGACCACCAAAATAATGAAGTGACTTTGTACATTATGATTAAACATCGCTATGCAAATAAAATGAATCAAAATATTAGCCTATTTTTCTCAAAAGACAATGTTCTATAAAAAGTATTCAGGTTAGGGTTAAAATGTCATCCAAAAATAAGCCTCTTAATCTCAATCTCTACAAAGCAAAACTTGACATAGTGACACGATAGCATTCAACCGAACTATGCCGCTGACCAAAGTTCAGCTATACTGGCTAAAATACTTAGAAATAAAATGCTGGTTAAAAAGAACTAGCGCTGGAATTGGTACTTGAAACAAAAATGGAAAACATCTAGAGCAACATGACATTATTATTTTGGTCTTTATGTAAGTACAAATGTCATGAATTATGAACAACCTAAAAGAACACACTTTCCACAAACTTTTTAATAGTTGCAACTTACAAAAGGAACTTTACAAAGCTAACAATTGTCGCCTCTTTGTCAAATGTAAAAGTTTTTAGTTTCTGAAAGCAGGGAGAGTCCGCAGTTTCCTTTTTTAATTTAAAAGAGTAACAATAAAGTGTCTTTCAACTCAAATACTAGGTACATGACTGCATAACATTGAGTGGGCAAAGAGTGGCAGAGCCATACTAAGGCACGAATTGGTCGGCTCGACCGGAGTGATACCACGGCATGACAGATAGTCACAGAAAACGGCGTGAAACAACCACAGCGTTGTGTACCGCCTTGTCCTTCTTCACCACCCCAAAAACTTAAATCTCCGAAACCCTAATTCCCAGAAGCCCGGCAACGCACTCGTAAGTACTCTGATGTTGCAGATAACATGGGCGGCACAGATTGCTTACTATCAGGTACTCCGTCTGCTCGTTTGCTGTCCTATCACATAACAGATAAAAAAAGTCTCCTAAAATACGTGCAGTCAAATAAATATCGAAAATCTCAATTAATTATCTAGTGAAAGGACTAAGAACAGAATATGCAGTAATCATTGAAAGGTATGGAAACCACGCGCCGTAAAATAGTCAATCAACTGATGGCTAATGTAACAAAAGGTTCATCGCCATTATGGCTATCGTATCGACTCACTACCTGATAGTTACCTACCCACAAGTACATCACGACATGGAACTCTATGTATGAATTCGTGTAGAAACGACATACGAGAAACCGCCAATAAAAACCCAAACGGCAAGCTGCTTTTTATCACTACGGCATAAACTATAAATAAATCAACAGTAAATGTTCCTAATAAAATATTTTAACGGTTGCATGTTTTATTACAACAATGGTCGACTGTGTAATTTGTGTTACTTATGTATTTTTGGTTTTGTTGAACCCTGTACCACTAGACCCACTTAAAATGGATAAAGTGGTAGTTAATACAAATAACTTTTTTACTAACTTTGATAAATGCACAAATCTAATCAAAGACAAGCTTTTATTTTTGTGAGGGGAAAATCATCAAATGACTTCGCTCGCCCAGGTTAAGGCGAGAGAGAATGTCAGACTCTTACTGACTAAAAATCTCCCTGTTCCTGATCCTACTTTATGCCGAGGCCGCGGTACCTTATTGCGCTTGCCCCGCAACCCTGTCTGAACCAAAGATAAGCTGAGGTCAACATTTTTTTTCATACTTCTTCATAAAAAATCTAAAACCTAGTTCAATATAAAATAAAGGTCTGACCTTCTGTAACCAAATCAATGTCAATAAATGATAGACTCGGGGTACAGAAAAAAAAATTGGAAATACATATTGAGCTTGTTCTGAATTTGAAATTGTTGGAGGTTGTTCAAATATGAATAAGGCCTAGACTTGGGTGCCGGATTTTTGTTTATCTTTAAATATTGTCGCTATCGAAGACCCAAATCTCAAGATGTCAAAAACATTTTTTTTATGTACTTAACTGTCGTGAGACATGCTTATTGAAAACAACGACTTGCCCACGTTAATTAACTGAGAAAAGCTCTCATAGTTTCAAGTTACAACTGGACTATTATACACGAGCAGCGTACGCGCCGCGAAGAAGTCGCGCAGTCGACTTAAAAAAAGTAAATTACAGCATTTTTGTCCAAAAGACCAAATGTGTTTCGTGTCCCAGGGATCTAATGATGTCTATTGCGAAATTTCGTGTCATCATCCTCAATCTTGAGCGGGAAACTTTAACTCCAATTGAAGCGATCCATCTTTGCGTATTCAGCGCCCACACAAAGCGCTAATTCAAATCCGCACGTCGTGCGATTGTACGTCTCAATAACCTAAACGGTTGGTCTTAGCGTAACAAGCTACTTCCTGCGAATGACCTTGCTTACAGTACATGAAGCCTTACAGTACGGTTGCTATTTATAAAAACACACCCTTCATGAAACCATGTCGTTAACAGGTATTTGTTTCCTTACCACCGTTTGCTCCTTGACCTATTACTTAATAAGTTACGATTTCTAAGATATCTAGAAATTTTTTACTATATTAATTATTTTTCATTGTAATGCGGATAAGTTTTTATGAGTACTTTAAGTTGAACGCACTCAAAATTGTATTTTACTGACCCAGAAAATTACTTAGACTGAAATTTTATTAGGCTCAGTTCACGAAATCTGCGCCTTAAATGTAGGTAAGTAGGCTTCTTTACTTACAAGCTTACCAGACATTTCTCATTTTAATATGTATGTATAATAAATATGTCAGACTTATCCAAATAGAATAAATATCCCTTGATGCTATTTATATCAGAACCTAGATCTAATTTCAGCGGAGCTTGTATCGACAGGGAATCTTATTACCGTAATAAGATTAGGATATTTAAGTTTAAGTTAATCATCGAGAGAACCTAGTGCTGATAATCTAAATATTTATAAGAAGAATCGCCACCATACATTAATATATTCCATATCAAATAAGTCTCACTTTCCCGTCAAATAATTTATAATCATCATAATATTTTGTAAGATCAATATCATAATTATGGAACAACAATCTAACAATCGTGTCAACAAATAGTTGGACAACTATCATTAACGTGAGCGATAAAAGGTGTAATGTTAATGACATTATTGAATCCATATCATTAGTCACAGGTTATGTAGGATACCGGGCGGTTGACAACAAAAATATACCTACCGCTTACTAAAACGATCAACATCGTTCATTGAAATTACACTTCCATTTATCATTCAATACAAATGTCAGTCATTTGTAAACTTTCCGAAGGAAATTACAGTCTGTTTATTTACTTTATTTATTAAGCAATTCAAGAAAGTACCTTCCTTTTCCTACTGCAATAGGTTGCGTTATCGAGAGTTTTATTCTTTTAGAATTACTGAATCTATTTCAGTAGAAGAACGCTTTGTTATTTCATATTTAAATCCGGCTTCGGCATTGATCCAAAATTATCCAGCCCTTCTGTAAACATGTACTATAGATAGATCGCTACGTAAGACCCGGTCCTTTGTATCAATCCCATCTCTGTAATAGTCTACACCAGGATTAGTCTCTTTGAAGTGCCTAGGGACTGTTGCAACCTCCTTGTTTGCTTGTTTCAATGTGCGTTGCCTCTTAGTCATTGATTTTTAAGGCCATCTGCATTGGACAGCAATTTCCACTCCACAAAATAAGAGCGATAAAGAGTTTTGTTCTAAAATAGCAAATACAAACAAAACTCGAACCATCCACTTCAGAAAATAACTTCAGTAAGCACAATACGTAACTTTGATAAAGTTATGATGAATTAGTGCATTAAATTACCACATCTAAAAAACAACGACGTACGCCCGAGAGGAATAGCGAAAATACCTTCATCGTGTTACTCCAATAATAAAATCTAATATAAATTCTTGGAAGCTTCTGTATAAAATGAGGAACCCTAATATAGGATTCGGTAAATAAAGCCTTTTTGCCAAGTTCCGAAGTGGCAATAAATATATAATTCACAGAAACCATTGGGCAAAGCGAGAAGGCGTGTGAAGTACGGAATGTTGTGCTGTAATTGCAGTCCGTGCTTGCTTGTTAAATAGCCTACTATTTTCTTTACAAAGCTATAGTTTATTTAAGAAATTGTTTTACTACGACAACTTATTACGTAGATAGCTGACATTAAAAATTATTGAAACAGTTTGTATTTATATTTGTATTTCTATTAAATTTTTTATTGTCTGTTGTCGTTTGATTCTTTATCGTAACCGTGTGAATCTAGTTCATTCTTTATTTATCAAGACCTCCCACTGGATCTTGGTTTTTAAATTCCAGAGAGGTTAAATAATAACCTCTTTTATACCTAAAATATTTTGTAATTACTTTTAAAGCTTTTCTAAAAGACCATTTACTAATATAATTACGTTCAAGTCCCTATGATCCCTCGGCACTTTAACTAACCACACTGCGAGACGGGATAATTGTTCCAACTCTATTGCTGAAACTATTAATTAAATAACATACCAACTTTATACTGGTTGAAATGAATATAAATTTAAGCACTTTAGTATACAGCTTTGGCTGAACACTAGTAAGAAATAATTTAATAAATGACACAGATATATTTTGTTAAATCTTTTATTT